ATGCCTTCCGAACCAGGAAGTGCATTCATAACTGTAGAACTGGCAACAGCAGGGAATGGTGGTGGTGGGCAGCATTCAGCTTGGATTGGTTTGGCAATGCACATCCCTGCCAGGCCTTCTTCAGCACATTGAATTTGGAGGAGTTCAAGTCTGTCTTCATTGGGTAGTGATGTCAAAGATGCTGGAGTTCATGCTTCAGCACACTCCAGCCTTCCTGAACAATTGGGGACTCAAATTGTGGGAGGAGGCACACATCTTTTCCTTCAGGCTGATTTTCTCCTTTAATTATACTTCCTCCAAAGTGATTGGGCCAGTTATTTTGGACCCTTCTGCTGTGAATTTGTCTCGTTTCAGAGACGCATAGGATCTTTACCATATGTATCTTCACCAGTTGGTTTTTTTGTGGGAGTTGACACTACCTTTGGAACCTGAAACCGAGCCAGATTTCATCTGGTCACACGTGATGGTGGTTCAGAGTTTTGTAAGTTCTACAGCAGCATTAACGCCAAGGAACAGGGAGCTGTCGTCTTGAAAGTGAAATAAATGAGGCAAGGAATCTGAGCATTGGCAGAGTCTCTTTATAAAAATCACATGGAGGGGGATAAAGCGAGGTGTGCTGGTTTTTACAATATAGTACACTCTCCCATTACTTCCAATCCATTGTGCTTATATATTTATGTAATCCACCTTCTCCATTCCTTACCCCAGAATGTTAAAAAGTCTGAAGTGGCCATTGCACTTAGTTCTAAACCCCCACTCTCCACGCTCCCACTTGCACAGGGCTGCAATGTGCCCACGGAAGTTGCGCTGCTGTATGAAGACCTTGGTCTGCCATCATCGCCTGAAGAAGACAACTGAAGTTGCTCCAGAGCAGATTAATTTAGATTTTATTTCTTTTGATTTTCTTCTCTCTTACCCCTTTCCCCCACCCCCAACGTGTACAGTAACTCTTACAGAGACAGCTGCAGATTTGTATATAGTTTTTGGATCTGGTAGCTCAGTGAGGCTAGGTGCTGTCACAGATCTGGTCTCCTGATCTCCTTTGCTTTGTAAACTTACAAAGGGGGGAAGGGGGTAGTTAATGTTTACAGAACTTAAAATTCCCTCGGAACTCTTGCTAGTGTGGGGGTAATAAAAAAGAAGAGAGAACTTAAATAAAACCTGGTTGTATTAATACCTGAGCACACATTGTTTGCTTTTGTCAAAGCCAGCTTTGGCAATCCTTTCCGGTGCTAAACTTGACCTGGAACTCTACCAGTGCCTGTTCCATCAAGTAACAATCAAGTACACAGGACATGGAGGGACAGCAGCTGCTTTATTTCATACCCCTGGAGGAATGTTGGTGGTTTTGCTACTTGATAATTTTAGAGGTGAAAATAAACATCAGTTAAGTTGAGATTGGAAATGTTCGACAAATCTTCACTCTTCCCTTCTTTCATCTGCAGACACATACCCATTCATGTTCTTGTGTTGTTTATGCAAGAGGACTAAGCCTGGCTAGTTCTTTTTTAAGCTGTAAACATGTTTTTAAAAAAACACATTAATAAGCCCACTGTGAACAAAACAGCAAGTGCTATACCAACCCCAACATTTTTTATTTTTTTGCAAACCAAAGCAATGGTTCTGTAACCTAAGCTGAGAATACACTGGCCTTTAGGGACAGAGGGGATTTTATGTGGCTCTTAAAAATAGACATAGGCAGCTTGTTTCACATTTTTCCAAGAATAGTTTTCATTGCTTCTTTTTTGTTTTCAAAATAATTACACTGAAATATGATGATGGGGTGAAGGAAATGATCAGTGACCCAAACCAAATGAAATTGATCAACCCCTAAGTGTCAGGCTTCCTATAAAACATTTTAGATTTCTCACCTGTATATTTTTCTTCTCTTCCCCTCCAGTAGTTATAAGTTTACAACTGAACATCTGTCTTGGTCATCTATTTCTTAGAAAACCATTGAAGTGTAGCTTATTTTGTACCATACCTGAGAACAAGGCCCTGCTCTAGTAGCCACATTTTGTTTACTTGGATAGGAATAATTTTGGGCTGTAGAAGAATTTAAAATTTATGCTAAATCAAATTTATTCTAGTAAAACTTCGCAGCAGGGTGGGAGATTGTAGGTAAGAACACAAATGTGCCTTATTTCAAGACCTTTTTCGTACATAAAGCATCCTGTAATGTAAATGCATGGACATGTAGTAAGTTGTTTGGGTGAGCAGCTTCTCATGGGATTTGAGCAGATTTTAAACATCCAGAGCAACCCTTCCTTTCAGGGTATCTACAGTGACATGGTTAAAACCAACCAAATATGGTCAGCTGCTTATGCAAGTGCCTTAACATGCTGAGCTGAGCTTTACACATAGTTGTATTACAGGCGATTCCCTCCTAGGTCTCCAACACTGAGGAATTGAACTCAACAATTTTGTAGGATTGCTATTGCTCAAGAAGTATCACTTTGCTGTAAAAAGAAGAAAAGAATGGTCTGTGTCACATTTGTTGACATTTTAGAAAGGATGGGTATGTGGTAATTTTGTTTGCTGATGTTGGTCTGGAGTCAATCAGTTACCAAGTGGTAATTTACCACAATGTGAATAAAATCACTTGGGAGGCAAGGTATCATGGTTTCAGATTACCATTTGCCTTTCAATAATTTAAGCAACCATTTAAGTGCATTGTTTTGTCACAACATTTTCTCAAGCAAAACTTGTAAGCTGCTTTGAGTACACATTAATGTAGAAAATTGGGGTATAGATTATATAAAACCCCAGTGTACATGTAGCCACTTGGAACACTTTGTATTGTCTTGTCCAATGATAGTGTTGGTTGGAATTGTACTGTATTTCTGCCCCTGAAATCCGTGGAAATGGGAATGACAAGTTTCTCCTTACCATTGGAGAGGACATTGCAGCTTACTGTTGGTCATATGCACAATCTAGGCAAATGGTTGTCTGTGCACACCCATCTATAGTGTACTGCCTGTGTTAAAGATTTGCTTCATGGTAACTTAATGCAACGGTGTTGTGCATGGGAACAGCTTCATAAATCAAGGCATTCTTACTGTGCTGCCAAGTGGTGGGGAAAACCTCACCACTCCCCTGCTGCCTTGAATTTCAGATTAGGTTCAGAAATGCAAGATGATCCTCACTACTTTGCAGGGCATTGTTGGCTGGCTTACCACATGGTTTTGTCCAAAGGGTAAGATAAAAAAATCACTTCAAATTGTTTGTTGAAAATACCATGGTATGTGCAGATGTGACCATTTGACAAGGCAATACCGACTACCAAATACAACACAGGCTTGCCAAAGTGGCTCCATACACAAAATGGAAAGTTATCATTTGGTGAATGTCCATCTATGTTTAAATTAATAGCTCTGTTCATTCCCAATGTGGTTTCAAACTGTTGTGTGCATTGGAAAGGTATAATGGTATTCCTGTGAAATACATAAGAGTAAAATGAGGTGCACTAGATACTACGGTATTTAATCTCAGGATTTAAGAAAACCATACTCCTGTTAATTTGGCATGCAAATTTAATGGAAAACATTTTCACAGTCTCTGCAAAATTCTATTTTGTAGCATAGCTCAGAAAAGCCATCCCAAAAGTTCATATGTGACACAGTGCAAAGTATTCTGATTGACAGGCTCAGTGCACATAATTATCCTGTCAGAAAATAAGTTTTGATTGATGGAAAGAACCGTAGACATCTGTCACCATCCAAAAATTCTCCCAGTCACACTACTTCTTCATTGTACTGCAATGTGCAACTTTTATTACAATCCAATACTTGATTATGAAACAAACTGCAAAATTTGGGTTTAATATAATAGTACTGTTGCTTCAGAAGGGGCTGGCAGCCTCTTAAAGAACAAGCTGGAACTCTATATATCATCAATGAGTTTGTAGTAAATATAAATAATGAAGTAAATACTGACTTTTCTAAAAGCTGCCCGATGTGGTTTCCCATCTACAAAGATACCTCTAAACAACAGTTTAGAACCAATTATGTTTTCACAACTATAGCAGGTAAAGTTATAATGTGGTTGCAGATTGGTTCTTGATTTCTCTCTTTCCCCATCCCCCTTTTTCAAAAATGAAAAGTGACTGCAGTTGCCAAGGGAAAGAAAACCATTTGAATCGTTAGCTTGTTTTTCCATTAAAATGCTCTGAGCAAAGATGTTTATGTTGCAGTTTGAATGTAAACTTTAGGACAAACTTATTCGTTGCTGCTAAGGATTTCAAAGTGCCCAACTACTATTGGATGCTTTGAGATCACATGTAAACTGGGCACTGTAGCTATTCAAACCTGAAGTGGTTTGTCTCTAGAAATGTCCCTGTCCCCCCGTCCCCCATCTCTATATTTTAAGTGTTCATTCAATAAGAAATACTTAATCCGTGGTTCTTCACTTCAAAGTGAATGTGTGTGATCATTAGCATATCAGTATCTCAAAGCAACAGTGAGTGATCTCTGAAATGTTCAAGTCTTTGTTCAAATCTTTCCATGTCTCTGGCTGAAGAAACTGTTCAGTTGTTTGAACGAAGAGGAAACCTTTACAGAAACCTGCATCAGAGGAGAGTTAAATCAATTGGGATTTCATAAAATGCAGCAAATATCAGTTGTTTTCACCCCAGTTTGCCTTGAGAGTGTGTTAGTGTTCAGTTGGACACTTCCGATAACCCAAAAGGTTTTGTGGTCATCATTATCCCCCAGTTAAATGTTGGGCTGAATACTTGCAGGATGTATGCTGCAGCTTATCCAAATATGTGTCTACTTCGGGTTTAGAATTTTTAATGAATGCTGTTATTCACCACTGTCCTTAACATATGGTGATGTTAGATGTGTACGCCAGTTGTTAGAAACCCGGTGCAGTCCTTGGCGCCTTTTGGGTTTTGCAGCTAACTGCCAGAGGGTGTGGGCTTTGCTCTGGTGGGGAGGGTTGGTTTCCAAGGACCAACGGTAGAATTTGGGGTGGGGTGGGGGGTGGAAGGCAACATGGGTGGAGCTGCCTTCTGACATGAAGAGGTAGGTCTGTCTGAATCTGTGTGTGTGAATGAGCTGAGCCTCTGCAGAGTATTTGCAATTCTCTGTCGTACACACATGTGAAAAGGCTTGAGAGCTAATTGGACAAGGTTTTCATTAGCTCCAGGAAAAGTTGCTTCCTCATTAAAGGCTTCAGAGAGTCTGAGCATTCCCGAAGGAGGCAATGCCCCACACCAAGGTCCTTCGTCTCATCCTGCTGACACTGTCTGGAGTTCTGGTCCCTTTTGTGGAAACAGGTAAGTTGGATTTCTTTCCAAACTACCATTGCAGCCCTGACCTCTCTACTTGTTCCCTCACCTCTCCCAAGCATCTTGTGTTCCTTCTCCAGTCAAAGTGGAATTCAATCAGAGTATATTGATTGCTAGTGCTAAGAGAAGTATCTAAAATCTAGGCAAAACAGAGAGGCTATGGGTAGCATTTTATGGACTGAGGAGCGGGTTTCAGTGAGTTTGTGTGCACCTGGAAAAAAATTGGTGCCCTAAAACCTTGAATAGTTGTCAGCAGCAAACTTAGGCTTGAATTAGCATTTTTAGGACTGCATCTCTTGTGCTGGCACCATACAAATGTGGAATTTGGTATTGTATATATAATTCAGCACCATGAGAATTACGATTTTTTAAAAAGGAAGTTTTTAGTCCTGTCTGTGAAGATAAATGTATGGGAATACTGCAGTAGTTAAATCTGTAGGCAAGTGGCAGAATAAGAGATTTAGTGGCCCAGAAGACAGGTTTTAGTGTCTTTTCCAAGTCTTTCCCTATCCTTGATTCGTTGAAGAAATTACGTGAAGTAGGCAAACATTACAAAATGCATATATACAAGATGCATCACACACCACTTGCATCATACATAAACTGTAGGGCATCATTTTTCTTAGTTCTGAATTTGAGTCATCAGTACAAAATTCTAATTATTAAACACACAGAGAGAGATAGTGTGTGTACACAAGTCCTAATCAGTGTGTTCCCTTTGGAAAGATCCACATGTGCCTATTTGTTCAATGCTGAGAATACCAATGGAATTCAGTGTCGGAAAAACATTTATGCAAAATACGATTTTAAAAGTGTAAGCTTAAAAGTAACCTAACTGCAATTCCCCAATCCCTTTTAAAAAACACTCTTGGAGTCTGTTTGTGCGACAACTGAATAAAACAGGGGTGGCTAACTTGTGGCCCTAAAGATGGTTCTGATTACAATTCCTGTCTTATCTGACCATTAGCCTTGCTGGCTGCGGGTGATGGGAGCCGTGATCCAACAATATCTGGAAGTCTCCAGATTGGTTACCCCTGGGGCAGAACAGTCATTCATCATTTGAATATTGCATTTGTGATGTAATGAGCAGGCATTTAGGAACTTGCCCCTTTTTTCTTTTATCCAGGATGAAAGTTCTGCCTTATAAGTTTGCCAAACAAACAAACAACCCACCTTTCATCAAAAGATCTTAGGGCAGTTAATGCATTGGACTGTTTAGATTTCCCTATTACCTTAGAACTGCCTTAGAACATAAATAGCATTTAAAAGAGTAATGGGTGAAACCCAGATAAAATTTCATTATTTATTTACTTTGATAATTTACGTTAATCATTTTTATCCTGTCCTTAAAAAGCTAAACAACTTTCAGGGTGACTTAGAAGGTCAACATATAATATTTATTACTTATAATTGTAAAGCATTTTTACCTCGCTCTTTTTAGGGTACAAAAAAAAAGAGCCAGTCTCTGCTCCTAGGCTTGCAATTTAAAAAGATGTGACATAAAAGGAAAAAGGATTGGGGAGGGAGAAGCAAACTTTGGGCACTAGATCTTGGTTACAAGGCAAGAACATATGGGCTTGCTGCTGTTGGCTGCTCACAGTTCTGCAACAGGTCTTTGTGGACCTCCAAAAAAAACAGTTTTCCAACCCAACGTTCTCTTTTTCACAAGGCGGTTGGTTCCGATGGCCTCTGAAAGAGGAGGAGCCCGGCCCAGTTCAGTTTATGAAAATGGCAGTGAATGAACATACTATAATATGGTTGCAACTTTTCTGTGAAGCATACCAGATAAAAGCTGCAAAACCTAAAAGTGACATATGTGTTGGATATCACACCTTGTGAAAGAGGATTCATTTTTATTCCCATTGTGCCTTTTGGAGGTTGTTTTTAAATTTGCCTTTCAACGTACGAGTCAGGAAGAAAACTCCTTGCCATGTGTCCCAACAAAATGATGAAAGGGGTACAGCCAGTCCCCTTGTGTGCTTAGCTATATACATAGCCCCGGCCTTTTTTTTTGTAAACAAGTTTATTTAACATCCAGAGCAACCATGGTGCTTTGTGTAGACCCAGGCTTGAGCTTGTACCATCACAGACTTCCCTTTGTGCCTCTGAAGAAGGGCTTCTTTCATCCACACACTGGCCACATGCCCACTGGGGCTACCTGAGTCCGTACAGCCCACTCTTGGTCTCTGAGAGCACTTCTGGGTCCCTGCTTTTCTGTGCCGGCGCCTCTGGCTTTCCACAACAGAAACCTCCAAAGTGAGCAGGCAGATACTGATCTCAGCCCCCAAGTACTACTGATGTTTTAAATCTTTAGTAGCTGAGAACCAACCCAAGGGATTAGTCCCTGACCACCTTCACCTCACAACTATCCATGTGGAGAGAACAGTCAAAACCCCTCAATTTTCCTGCAAACCTACATGAAAGTGATGAAATCAGGAGGCCATGCAGATGTTTCTTCATATATGCATGGCATAGAATCAACCAGTTAACAACAACAACAACAACAACTTCTTATTTATACCCCACCCATCTGGCTTCCCCAGCCACTCTGGGCGGCTTCCAACAAAATATTAAAATACAGTAATGCATCAAACACTAAGAGCTTCCCTAAACAGGGCTGCCTTCAGATGTCTTCTAAAAGTCTGGTAGTTGGCATCTGGTGGGAGGGAGTTCCACAGGGCGGGTGCCACTACCGAGAAGGCCCTCTGCCTGGCATCCTGTAACTTTGCTTCTCGCAGAGAGGGAACCACCAGAAGGCCCTCGGCTCTGGGCCTCAGTGTCCGGGCAAAATGATGGGGGTGGAGACGCTCGAAGGCTAACACTGATGATTTGAACTCTGCGTATGGGTCATGTTTAAATCAGGCCACTTGCAAAACAGCAGTGGAGATTGGTTTCAAGCTTTCCGGGACGTTAATGTTTGTAAGAGCAGGGATAAGATGGCCTGAGACAACTCTGCATTGACATAGCGTCTGCTAATGCCCCAGTTAAAATAATCATGCTGCCTTTTTCACTCATCCCAGTACAAATGGATGATGGGACTAGTGGCTATGGAGATAGGATGTGCTTTGGAAGAGGAGTTGATTTCTCCAGAGGAGCTGCTGCAAAGTGATCCTCATTTTTAAAAAGTAGCCTATAACTAATCCAGAGAAAGAAGTGAGGTGAAAATAAACTATCTCTGAGCCACAGTAGTTCTCTAAGCATGTGTTCTCAGGCATTTTATTTTCGCATTTGTTCATGTGTCAAGATGGAATAAATGATTCATTGGCATGTTGCAGCACCCCCTTGTTTTTGACTAAAATATGTCAGTTTGTTCAGAGGCATCCTCATTTTCAGAGACTACTTGTACCATGGTTGGTTTGAAACTGATACTATGGGGACAACTGTGGTGTTTTCTCAGCAGAGTATATATTACATAACCTGGACCTTTTAGCACTTTGTTCCAAGCACGATCTCTTTGCCAGCATTATTAAATTGTCATCCCAGTTTAAGTTTCTTTGACAAGCTACATTAACTTAGATCAGTGTTCGAGGCCTGTGACAAGTTTCAAATTAAAGGGAGATTATAAGAACTCTAATTAAACACCAATCCCTGTTGATCAGGAAGTCTTTGAGAGAGTGGGGGTTCTTGCTTATCCCAACCATTCTGTTACTTTTAAATTATGTGGGAAATAATTTCTTCCTGGGTGCAATTTGAGTTGGAAATGTCATATTTTGGTGGGCTTTGGCCATTTTTAACAAAAACATATTTTTTCAGACTTTAGGCGCAAAGTCGATGTTCCTATCCTGTGCTTATAAATGCCAATCACAACACTTCGCATAGCACAGGGCAAGGGGAGGGGATGGTAGAGAGAAGAGATTGGTTGTTTTAAGATCAGAGAGCTGATGTTAACATGCTGCCTCAACTGCAAGTAGACCATCCTTTGTTGCAGTTGTCTCTTGGTAGTAGCACTTTGGCTGAAGGAAAATTATATTCACAGCATTCAAATTGGAAAAGGTTGTCAACTGATGAAGATGGGAAACAGGCCTGGCCTTGGGCTTTGAACAGCAGCTGCTTGATCTATAGGAGAAATCACAAGTCAAAACTTTTCACAGCACTGTGATTTAAGCATTGTTACATTTGAAAGCCTACAAATTAAAGGCCACATTCACAGCATACATTTAAAGCACTATGATACCACTTTAAACAGTCATGGCTTCCCCAAAGGATTCTGGGAGCTGTAGCTTTTAAAAAGTGCTGAATGTTGTTAGGAGGCCCCTCTTTCCTTCACAGAGTTACAATTTGCAGAGTGATTTAACAATAACCCCTCTTCCCAGGGAACTCTGGGAATTGTAGCTCTGAGAGGTGTCAATGTCTCCTAACAATCAATTTGCTGACCAATTTGTTTTCAATCCAGGAAAATCAATGTACAACCATTACAAATTTGAGCAAAACTATTGCTATAATTCCAGCTGCTTTCCCCTCCTTTGGTCATTAGAGCATGCAGTGGAGGGATGTAAGCAGGATATCAGTACTTTAGCAAACTGGGCAGATCACTCAAAGGGAGGAGTCAGATTGCTACTTCCTGTGCAAGTGGGTATAATTTTTATTTAATGAAACACTCTGACAATTCTGGAGAGGATTATGAATATCTCAAGCCCCCAACCTCAGACTATGGCTGTTTATTCTGAAGGGAAGAACATTTTGTCAGTAATAGGTTTTACCTCAGGTTCTTCATTGGCCTTTGGCTGCCAACCAGGCTAAATTCAAGGTTCTGGTTTTGTTGTATGAAGCTTGGGACTAGGGTTAATGAAAGATCATTTCGCCTCTTATATACCCAATCAAACACTGAATTCTGCAACTGAGGGCCTCCTGCAGATACCATCTTAGCAGGAGATCTGCCCCACACAATGTGGCCTTAAGTGTTGTGGCACCTACCTTTTGGAATTCCTTCTCCTTAAATATTAGGCAGGTACCGTCTCTTCAACAGTACAGTCTACATCTGCATTGCA